GTAGCGGCTTCTGTCATAGAAAGAGACAAAGATATAAATAATACAACACAGTATTTAAAACATAAAAGATAAACAATACCGAAGAAATCCGGAGGGGCCTTCATCGTGCATTATGTCAGTGGGGGCCCCCTGCTGCTCAGAAAAAAGGCTGCTGCTGCTGCTGCTGCTGCTGCTGCTACTGCTGATGCTGCTGTAGCAGAAGATAAGAAATAGAGGCTCCGGCTTATATAAATTATTAAGAATTACTTCTAATTAACTCCTCTTCTCTAACTAACAATAATACACAACAAAGAAAGAGAAAAATCAATAAAATACTCCGGCCCTCCACAGAGCTTGCGGTGTACGTACAGCTGAGCAGCAGCAGCAGCAACTGCAGCAGCTGCAGCTATCAACTCAGTGAGACTCCCTTCTTTAAATTCTGCTGCAGCAAGAACCTCTTGCTCCTTGTGGGGAATAGGAACGCTACCTTTGCGGGATCTGATCCCAGCAGCACGGGTTGCTGCTGCTGCTGCTATTGCTGCTGCTGCTGCTGCTGCTGCTGCTGCTGCACGAGCGCCGGGAACGAGAGCTGCGGAGATACACCAAGAGGCCTCTTAGCCACTTAGATGATAAAAATAAAAAACAAACAACATAAAAATGCATCAGAAAAGCAAAAGCAAAGGGGCCCCCACCCCTCGGCCAGGAGACACCGGTGCAGCAGGAGGAGACAGTCTCTAGCTGCAGCAGCAGCAGCAGCAGCAGCAGCAGCAGCAGTAGCAGCAGCAGCTCCACCAGCTTGCGCAGGCAGGAGGTCCCAGCAAAACCTCTGTGTAGACAATGAACCCTAAACCCTAAACCCTAAACCCTTAATACCGCAAACACTAACTTCAATGTTTTAATAAAATAGCATAACAGCTCGCTTGTGTGTACACCGCATTTCCCTCTACCACTGGCCCCACAGCTAGCTCTGGAGCTATGCTGTTGATTGCTGATTAGGGATTAGGGTTTAGGGTTTAGGGTTTAGGGTTTAGAGCAAACGGAGGTATCAACGGATAGCTGAAGAGCTGCTCCGCTGCTTCTGCTTTGTCTCTCTACCCTCTCTGTCTCCTTCCCTTCACCCTTTCTTTCTGTCTCTTCTTTTGTCTCTCTCTTTGTTTAAAGCCCCGGATCTTAGCTGAAGCCTCTGCTCTCTTGCAGCACAATATACACACTGGAGACACACACACACACAACCCTATCATCCCCTCTACTCTCCTCATCAAACAAAGGGGCCCCTCTATGGGGGCCCCTTTATGGGGGCCCCTCTATGGGGGCCCCTGTGCGGAGCCCTTGTGGAAGGCCTCTGCGGGGGCCCCTGTGGGAGGCCCCCGTGGGGGCCCCTAAGGGGAGGCCCTAAGGGGGCCCCTCTGGAAGCCCCTATGGGGGCCCCTATAAGGGCCCCCATGGGGGCCCTATGGGGGCCCTATGGGGGTCGCTGTGCGGTTTCCCATGGGGGCCCGTAGGGGGGCATCAAACGAAGGGGCCCCTGTTGGGGCCCCTATCTTTACAGAAGGCCTCAATGAGCAGTAATAGAGTAATAATGCATAAGGAAGGGGCCCCTAGGAAGCAAACATTTAAATCCCTTTATCGGGTAAGCTTGATGATATGTTTTTATTATATGCTGCTTCTCCTATCCAGCAGAAGCTCTTCTCTAGCTGCGCATGCAACTCGTTTATCATCTGCTCTCTTGCAGCCTTCGGGCTTTCGTAATGAAGTGTACATAGAGATGCCAAAGGGCCTCTATAAGCACTCAGGGTTTGGGTGGGGGAGGGGGAGGAGACAGCTTAATTTGAGCAGCAACAGAAGAACTACTGCAAGGCGCCTTCATTAGCAGAAATAACAGCAAAGCCCCCTTGTGCTGTCTGCAGAGACACTTCGTACAACAGCTGGGCTTAGATATGCATGCACAAGGCTACTACTTGGGCCCTTCATATATCCCCCACATGCTCTGCATGCAGCAATAAAGGGAGTTAAAGAAAGAGCTGTCTTTAGCTTCTTCTAAAGACCTTCTGTAGCTACACCTCAGATAGATAGAGAGAGTAAAGACAGGCAGTATGCTTCAAACTCCTTCTGTCTCTTATTCATGGAGACAATCTATAGCCTTTAAGCACTATCCTTAGCACTAGAAAGAAACAGAGACAGAGACAAAACACAAAGTCTAAAGTAAAGCAGACAATATGTCATCATCTCCACAGACACCACACACTGTCTTTCGGCTGTCTCGATATACTGCGCATACACACATCTCTGCAAAAAGCAAAGGAGACACAAATACGCATCAGCTCCTTCACCTTCAGATGGTGCACCTGCTACTGCTGCTGCTCCCGCTGGTTCTGCGGGCGTTGCTGCTGCTGCTGCTGCTGCTTATGCTGCCACTGCTGCTGCTGCTGCTGCTGCTGCTGCTGCTGGTGCTTCCCTATCACTGTTCCCAAGGCCGCTTCTATTTCATCTTCTTTTGCTGCTGCCTCTGAGGCAAATCAAC